TTTTTTTTTTCTTTTTGTTGCTATTTTTAGGATACTACTGACTTGCCAAGGGCCAACAACAGCTACAAATCCAAGCAAACTTCAATTAGAATAGCCCAATAACCAAATCACAAGAACATAGCTTTAAATGGCTCCTTTCAAATTAAAAAGAGGATCTTGTCTACCTTCCAAAATCATAAATAGTTGTTAAATACCAGTTAACTACCACAACTAACTTCTCCAGGTGTTTGAATTTTCCTAACACAGATGACCCCATGGAAATGCAATTTCTAGTAGAGAAACAAATCAAAAGGTTTATTTGTTGATCAAATGGGGTCCTTTCAAAACTACCAACAGATGGACAGCTGCACAGCAAAATTCCAATGTTTGAATGTATGCCCCAACTAAGATGACAAAAGGGACTTCTCAACTTATCAGTACTTCCTATTCAGAATGAACCACCGGTCAAGTAACACAGAAAACAAATAGGTCTAATTAAACCCGATCGAATAATGATTGGAATACGTATATCGAATATATAGAAGTAAACTAACACCAAGTTGCAGCTAGTTCAGTTCACACGGCGTCGACAAAAGAAACAAGTCCTCCCTGTTTCTTAAATGTACCAGTTGTATAAGAAGAAAAGGGTTCTTAACTTGTAACCTACCATATATGAAAAAGAAAACTTCTCAAAAACAAACACACTGATGACAACACACTGCAATATCACAAACAAGCACTTAAACCTCTTTTCCACTCAACTCTAACTAGAGGAGGTGCATGTGTTGAACCCATCCTTGCAGTCTCTGGTAAGTTCATTAAAAGTCTCGATTTGCTTCTTGCCCTTCAAGAATACCTCACTATCAACTTGAATCCTCATGTACCCGTCGAACTCAACCGGGCTCCCGTTATTGAGTTTGGTCATCTCGGAATACCAGTCGCTGTTTGGATCCCAAAGATCTTTATAGTCATTGAGAAAATGGGTCGTGTACTTATCCTTCAATGGGTCGAAAAACGACGTGTCAGGCTCGTTGGTTGCTATGTATAAGTTCCTCCCGTCCTCGATTTTGTGCTTCAAGGTCGACAAAAGTGCATCGGGTGAAGTGTCCCTATCGACATTAGGCCATAATTCCTTGTTGCTTGCCTTTTCACCTCGCTCGACGTGAGCCGTGTCGAAATCCCAATTCATTCGGGCAGCAATAGCCGAGGAAACATCTAGCAACCGTCTCGATTTCCAGATCATACTCCATGGCCGTTGGATCACACTCTCGGTCTCGCCCTCACAAACCCGGTACCAGTAGTTATCGGGCTCCACACTCCCAAACTTCCTCATGATCAGGGTATCCTTAACATCCGCAAGCTTCATGGGAGTAACCTTAAAGTCCTCCACGAGATGCAAGCTCAACTTGTCCTTCTTCCGCCACTTGCCCCAATCAGACCAGAACTGGTTCTGGTCCAAAACAGAGGCCGAATCCATCAAGTGCTCAAAATCAAAGTAGAATCTAAAATCCTTACCCTCTTCGTCTAGGCCGGACGAGGTATAGATTTTAGACAGACAAATACTCAGATCCATGACCAGAGTCCGGTTCAAATACTGTGCCTCCCCAAGCATACACATGAAACTCCATATATACTGGTTCATGCTCTTGCACCTGTCCCCACCACCCGAATATATCAAATACTTGCCCTGACTAAAAGAACCTTCTGATTCAACCGTGGGAAGCACATCATTTACGGTCTCGCCAACTTCCGGGAGGGAATCCACCCCTTTATAAGAAAATACAGACACTTTTTCATACCCCTCAAACCCTGGCATGTGCTTCACTGAATTCTTTTCCCTCTTTCTTTTTTTATTCCTTGCATTCCCGCCCGAATGATAGCCTCCGATCCTGACCACAGTAAGTGTACAGTTCTCGGACCTCTCAAGCGTGAAACTCCTGTAATCCTTATAAAACGCGGCCTCTTTACTTTCCTTGGGCCTGAACCTCCACGCCATGTGGCAGGAGCTGCCGTTTCTCCCCACGACGGGCCTTTCGAAACGGTAGAAATGGATGTCCTTGAACCGCTCGATGGCCGATCGCATCAACAGATGGAAAACATCGGGATCCCGGCAGCTGATCGGCTCGTCAATCTTGCAGCCACGACTCTCGGGGTCCGAAATGGACTCCTTGAGCTCAATTATTGCTGGGATTGCGTTTTCTACATCGGTAATGTTGATGAAGGTGTCGAAGGCGGTCTGGTTCACGGCGACAAAGTCCTCGCCGGTTCGGACAACGGCCGTTTCGGATTTGAAGGTGGCGTTGGAGTCCGAGGAGAGGAAGCTGGTGAGTTTCGAGGAGGGGTGGAACAGGGGGTCCTCCGGCTGGTAGGTGGCTGCTATGATGGTGAATACTAAAACGCCAACGACGAAGAGGGCGAAGCATAGGTTTCCAATCACGGCCAGGGCGTTCGGGCCGAGATTCTCGGCCCTGAAACTCCCGTTTCTGTAAAGCGTCAAAGACGGCCGGCCCAACATTTTCCCCTTTCTATCTCACTCTTCTTCTTATTATTCTTCTTTCTTCACACTGAAATCAAACGACAGAAATTGAAATCGCAGGTAACAAAACGATTCAAATCGAGCAAAAACTGGACCCCCAAATTGGTGGCTGTTGAACAGATCTGCTCGAGAAAGCACGAAGATAGATACAAAAGATGGTGTATGTAAATGCGATTGGATTACCTGAATGCCGTCATGGAAGAGAGGCGATCAGCTCGCCGGTATTTGTCGATTTTTTCGTCTCTTTCCTGATACAGCGTGACAAAGGATAACGAGCTGCTATTAGAATCTTTGGGGGAGTGAATGGGGGAGTGATGAGAACTTGTACTAAATTACACTTTATATTCACAAATTTAACCATTTCTCTATTTTTAATTATTAATGCACAGTATGATCAGTTGATCACAATATTGTGATGAAGTGAACATAAATTAATATATACAATGTAAAATGAAAAATAAATATTATTATCATTTTCAAAATGTCTAATTATTTAATTTATTTTCCCTTTATATTTATGATTTTTTTATTTGACCCAGTGAACAATAATATTATGTTTGATTATTTTTTAAAAATGAATGTTGTGGACCTAATAATATTATGTTTGATAATAACATTGGTGATCATTTTTTAAAAATAATGTTGTGGACCTAAAAATTATCTTATATGGTTCACAATTCATCTAATAGAGCATCTCCAAAGCTTAAATATAGTTGTAGTAAATTACTCTCTACATTAGCATACTAGTACAGAGCCCGTGCGATGTACGGGGTGCACAATTTTAAGGTCATTTATCCAGCCTTATAATTATATAAATGAATAAAAAAAATGTACGGGATATATATAGTACGTGACCTGTGCGAGACACGGCATATATTTATTTGGGCATTATTATATTATAAGATGCAATATTCAATAAAAGTTTTACAATACACGAAAATAAATATAAATAATGTAAATTATCTAAATACATACACAATATGTAGAATAAATAAGCCAAATTGCAAATCTGGAAATATAATTTAAAAAATAATCGAAAATATATTTCACTAAACATGTAAAAAAATATCTAAATACATACATTAAAATAAAAAAAAAATATATTAAAATTTATGTTTCAAACTTCGAAATTAAAACAAAAATTCAAATAATTTGGCTGACAGTTTTATCATGCAGAACCAACTCGAGATATGATTTGTTTGTGTTGCCTCAGTCTTGGAAAAACATTCTCACAATTCAAACTTTGAGCATAGGTCTATTAGACCTATTGACTTGTTTGATTAATACAAATCTTTGATTCATTGTTTTGAATAAAAGACTGATTGAGGATTTTTTTTGTTCGCAGGAGGTTGACAGTGAGGAAGATGATGACTCGATATTTTGAGATTTGTAATTTATAATGGGTAGAGTAGATATATATTGTTGTTAATATTTTTATTAGAAAATCTGAATCTGAATATACAAAAATCGGTTTGAACAAAATCAGAACAAATTTTCATACATTAGATAATAAATAAAGCATTTTTTATTTTATTAAAGTTTTTACGTACTTTTTTTTACTTATCGGTTGTTATGAGGTTTTTTTTGTTAAACTGATTTTATGGGATATAATACAAATACAATTAGAGGATTGAACAAAATCAGAACAAATTTTCATACAATTAGATAATAAGAAGGAATTAGATAAGGAAAAGAAGAAATTAGATACGGAATTTCAAATCTGTTTTTTTTTTAGTATAGCTATACTTTACGTACAAATTTTGACTTCACTGATTTTATGGGATTTGTTTTCAAAAAATCGATGTTAATATGGAATAAGACAAATAAATAAAGTCTTTTTTATTTCAGTAAAGATTTTACATCTTTTTTTTTTTTACTTATCAGATGTTATGGGATTTTTTTTAAACTGATTTTATGAGATATAAGACAAATAAATAAAATAATTAAATAAAATTCTGGATAGAAATAGCAATGCATTAATTACGTTGACTTTTCAACCTACTAAATTTGGTATCTATGATACCTTATTATATAAGTATAGATTTAGTAATTTATCAACTTTTAATCCTCCAATGCACAATGTTATTACAAATATTGTGATGAGGTGGACATAATTAATGTCTACAATGTAGAGAGAATGTGGTCCATCCACATTCTCATTCACATTCTACTTTACCAATGGAAAGAGGAGAGAGAAATACTATTACCATTTTTAAAATATCTAATTATTTAATTCATTTTCTTTCATATTTATAAATTTTTTATTTAGCCAAGTGGACAATATGTGTTTGATTATATTGTCCATTGGATATATTTTTTTAGAATTAAAGTTGTGAACCTAATAATTATCTTATGTGGTTCACAATTCATCTAATTAATTGACATTTGTCAAAAATTATGTAATAACAACATTTACTACAACTACATTTAAACATTATAAAAGTGGTATTCATACTTCTATGAGAAAATTCAGACCTTTTCTTTATTTTTTATTTTATTTCATTCATAAATAATATTTTATTTGTCGAGAGAATTAGAACACATTTATACGCACTGTGTTGTTTTTACGTGTTTAATAGTAATATGTTAGATATAAATATACTTTTATATTGTTTATAAGATTAAAATGGTTTGGATTTTTTTCTATTTTTTGATAAAATATTAAGTAACTAACTCATTTTCATATTCACAACCAATATATTTTACAACAATTATGGTGTTCAATTTCAAGTAGTAATTGAAACATACAACTAATTTATTTTTTTTCTTTTAGTTCACATAGTTAATGTTGGTAATAATTGTATATTTACATTCATTAATTATAAATGTGCATCTTAAGTATGTTTTACGTTTATCATTATCCAATTCCAATTTATAGGACATTAATTAATGGTTATTATTATTTTTATTTACTTTTGGATGGAATGCAAGCTATAGATTTTCTCATTGTGTAGTCTTACGTTTTTATTTTTATTACGTTGAATATCATTTTTACCCATTGTTTAATTATTATAACACTAATAAAATAATTAAGAATTTTACGATCAAGATTTATCTTATTTATTTTGAAAAAATCACTAATTATCAGAAATTAAATGATCATTACATTGAATGTGTTATATTTTGTATTATTATTTAATTCTCAAAATAATTAACTGCACACAACATTATATATAATGCAATTTTTTTTAGTTTGATATAGAGTCATACTTTTACTACAAAAAACGACGAAATGCCAATGAAAACATGTTACGGCGGAATTTCATCGACAATTGTAACGAATATTTCAATATTACTACTCCAGTTTGAATTTTTCAATAAAAATTGTAAAAAATATATTGTTGGAATCATAGGCAAATCCATATTTATCTAATATTCCCGGCATAGGTCTCATCCCAAATCATATAGCATAAGTTATCTAACAAAAACTATGGGATCATTTTTCATAACTTTAATCATGTCACTATTTAGAAAATAAAATCAAAAGAAAGAAAGATACCAAATGAATTAATTCACAATTCAACCAATTATAATTTAATTTAGCTCATAGCTTTAATTATATATTTTTTCCTTTATATTGTCCTTTTATATATTTTTAATAAATATAAATATATATATCTATGTATATATATATATATATATAACTTTTTATTTGTTAAAAAATGTATAAAATTAAGTATAAAATTTTTTAAATCATATTTCATATTATCTATCAATTAATTGTACATCTTTATATTATATTATATACACTACAAGAATAATCAATTTTAGTGACGATAATTTTTGTCGCTATGTCGTCAAAAAAAAATACTGTCGCTAATAATGTCCTAATATTGTCGCTATATGTTCGAATGTCATCACAATAATACATCTTATTGTGACGGTATTTTTTGTGACGACATAGCGACAAAAATTATCGTCACTAAAAATGATTATTCTTATAGTGATATTAGTACAATCTTTTTATTAATATTATACTAAAGTTTTTATTCTCTACATTTTTTTAATAAAACATTACTTTGTTAAAATAATACATGTTAAAAAAAAATTAAGAATCTAAAATAATATCAGTAAATAAAATAATTAATATGTAAAAAATTTAATCATCATCGTTTATAGAGCACTGATCTTGATTGCTCAAATAAAGTAAATAATTAAAATTTTAATTATCATCGTTTATAGTTTTATTATTATTATTATTATTATTATTATTATTGTTATTATTATTATTATTATTTATAGTTTTATAGATAGATATGGACAAATAGATATAGGATATAAATTTATTAATATAGTTTGTTTGATATTACATTGATGGGTAACTCATATTGGCAAGGAAAAAAGTAAAAAGGCACCTCATCCCAACTAAGAGTAACATAATTTCCTTCAGACAAGCCAGAACCAGAGAAATCAAGAACGAATAAGTGATATTTGAAGGCAGAAGAACTACTGCGGCCTCATTTGTATCCACTCGACATCCATTGCATGAAAAGGAAAATAAAAATGAAACGTTAAGCTCGACTATCGTTGTACAGTTGAATGAGTATAACATTCTCTAACCATATATGTGTATCATACTATCCATTTTTTTTTCCAAATTTTTGAAGTGTTTTTGTCTCATAATTATATTTTAGACATGGATTATTGCATATTTCTACTGCTGAATTTTAAAACCACATTTACAAGCTCAGCCAGTGACACAAAAACCTTGAAAACATATATTGTCCATTTTGAGTTACCTTCCACCTTAAAGTTAACTCATTAAGGGCTCGGGCCAAGTCAACTTATTAAGGGCTACGGAACCAGGGCTGGTTTACGGCATCCGGCCCAAACATTACTTGAATTATCAGTGTGGATTAAATTACACAGACTAGCAGATCCAAATAACTGTAAACCGTCCCGTCAGGTGCTCGGAAATCCCTGCCATAACAGAAGGGGAACTGAGTTTGTAGCGCCCCTTTCGATTTATTTATTTGTTT